CGATGCGGACCAATACTTTGGTCCTCGTGTGACTCCCGAGTGCCGCTCGTTTGACTTCACTCTTCTATTCGAACAGAGCTTCTTTTCCATCGGCCCGGCCGCTATATTCCTTCTCTTCTCTCCCCTCCGCCTCTATCATCTCTCCCGCAAACCGATACTAGTACGAGGTGGGCTTTTACATCGGGCGAAGTTGGTACGCTTTGCGGTGCCCGATAGACCTACCTGAAGATCATATATACTCACGTTCGTCAATGATATAGGTGCTTATAACAACCTTTGTGCTCGCCAACCTGGCTTTGCTCATTGTGATGAGCACCGCCCCGATCCCGAGAAGTATCACCACCGTACTCGCCACGACACTCGATTTGGCCGTTGCCATATGCATGTTACCTCTTTCGCACTTCGAACATGTCAGAACTCTTAGACCATCCGGATTGCTATCAGCATTTCTCTTCTTCACTCTTATTCTGAGTATTGCTCGAACACGCACGTACTGGCTCTTGCCGAACGAATGGAGTGGCTATGCGGCGTGCTATACGGCAACCCTCGTTCTCAAGCTACTTGTCTTGATATCAGAATCATGGGACAAAACCGGGCTTCTACCCATTCAGGATCAGAGGCGATCTCCCGAGGAGAGAGCAGGTGTACTAAAACGCAGCGTTTTCGCTTGGCTGAACTCTCTCTTCTTCAAAGGGTACAGAAAAGGCCTCAATTTTGAAGACCTCTATCCTGTCGACGTTGCTCTGGGCTCTCGATTGCTCGCCGATTGCCTGCAGAGGGTTTGGAAAAGAGGCAGTAAGTAATACTATATGAATTGCCCCTCTGACTTTCAACTCACGATTCATGCACACCAGACAATGGAGCAAAATATGATCTGGCTACATCATTGTTTCGATGCATGCTTGGATCGCTGTTGATACCAGTAATCCCTCGGCTGTTCCTCGTTGGCTTTAAATTCTCTCAACCTTTCCTCGTCGAACGAGTGACAGACTACCTCACGCAGCCAGAGGGGGATAACGACGCCGCGATCGGTTATAGTTTAATCGGCGCATATGGTCTAGTGTATATCGGACTTGCGGTGAGCCCAGCACATTTTTGCCTGATGCC